TTCTACAATGCACACACTTTTCTGATTAACTGTGTGTGACTTAAGTAGATCTGAGAAATGAGTTTTAAAGAGTGTTTTGAAAGACCTAAATTCAGCCAGGCTTTATGGAGCAGAAATTATTTTATTTTTTTTAAGCAGTCTAATTTCTGATAATCAGCGCATTCCTTTGTTGCGCCAGATTATTACCGGTGGTGGTGGGGAGGCATCTGGTAAGGAAGGGGGCTGGGAGGAGGGGACACTAAAGCAGAGCAGGAGAAAGCTCTGATGGAAAATTTCTACCAAAAAGCATCTTAGTAATTGTTCAAGAAAAACTTGTGGAACCAGGGTCTGAAAATTCATTTGCTGAATATGTAAAATGCATAATTTTGTACATAAATGGCTAACCTCACAAATACCTCAGAAATGTGTCTTCACATTGATTTGCTTAATATGCACACTTCACAGGTTTCCTATGCACTTTTTTTCAGAGACATTTAGCAGAAACCTATATGGGCCCACTTTTTTAACTTCTAATTTACCAAGTCTTTTTCATCACCCATACCTTGGGCACCGGATACTTGAATAACGACATCCAGTCCTCCATCCTTTTATGATGAGGTCAGTCTCTTTTCTGTCACTGGATTCATGTGGGGCTGGATAGGAGAACATTAATTTTTCTGGAGGGTTTTTTTCCTTTATGTCCTATATTCTGCCTGTCTCAACTACTTCAGCTGAAGAAGACTATTTTAGGAAAAGATCAATAAATCTTTTCATAACTGGAAATGTTAGAGGGTTATTCAGGAGCATTTTAGCAGTACCTGCTAATTTCTGTTCTTTGCATCATGTCCTCTATAGGCTTTGAGATTAAGTAGCACTGTGATATTTCTCTTATACTAGACACAACCATACAGAAACAAGATGTATTTCTGTTGTTTGCACTTCATAGTGATATAAAGTGTATGTTATCTGTGTTACTGGCTTCATATTAACTGAGACCCCACTGCTCTAAATAACCAGGTTTACATGTCTCTATATAAATAAACAAATAAGTAGGAGATAGTTCTGCCCTAGTCCTGACAGGTCTAGCTTTAAGTAGCAACATTTTTTTAGTAGCTTCATAATAGAGGAATTTACTCACATGCATTCATGAGACAAATAAAAATTATATAATAAACAGGCATAAAAACCACTTAAAAATTAAAAGTAGAAAAAGCTGTGAAAATTTTGCATGTTCAGTCCAGAGGAGTATATAAAGTATAAGTGTGATTGTACTACTAGAGCAGACAGTATCTATCAACAAACTGTCTAAGAATCACTTTCAACAGATATATTTAAGCCAGGATTTAGAGACCTCTCCTGGATATCAGGGCATGTATAGGAGCAATGGGCCACATTTACATCTATATTATAGTTCTGTACATAGCAAATAACAATAGTTAATATTGTCATTCTTCTATTTCCAGCTATGCGTATTGCCTTCACACGATGTAGGATAACCATCTGATGTGTGACCATCTGGGGCTTGTTTCCTTTCCTCTGATTTCTGCTCTTGCACTTGTTCAGGTTTTGGTAGCTCCTACACTGGAGTCCTTTCTAGGACTTCTGGGACCTACTGTAGCCCAAATAATATTAGCATCACTAAACTCTGGACTTAAAAAGGTAATTATCAATTCTATAATTTGTTCGAGGGAAATCAGCTCTAATTGTAAGATCTCTAGAGAGGGTGGTAAGTTCCCCCTTGTCTTCTTTAGTGGCACAAGAAGTCTAGCCCTGGCTGCATGATGCTTGAGCCTGGACAGGAAGAGGTCCCTTGGCCACTGAGCATCCTCCTGAGGCATGAAATTCAGAAAGCTGTAGCACTCAATGTAGGGGAAGACTTGAAGAGAGGACTCCCATTCCATGTGTCTGCTTTGGCTGCCAGGGCTGCGTTGAGGGACAGCAATGCTTCCTCCCTCATGGCAAAGCCTGATGCGAGTGGGGGTCCTTGTGTGTGATGAGGCTGGTGCTGAAAGCCCTGAGAGATGAGATTTGATGTTTCCTGGAGGCTAACTTTGCATATGGATTTTTGGATCACCCGACCTTCAGTCTAACCTTTCTAATACCTTATGTTGGGCACCTGGCTCTGGGTTTTTAATTCCACACCGTTCACTGAAGAGAGCTTTTCACTGAGAGCTTTTCAGTGCTCTCCTTACTGGTGTCTAAGTGCTAACATAAATTTTTAGGACCAAATACTGCTTATCCCTCTTACATGCATGTTTTTTAAAGGAAACTTTTTTTTAACTGTTTGTTGTGACATGAAACATGCTTGAAAAAGGTGGGTTGTATTCATTTCTTTAACCCTAAAATAGTGCCAGCAACAAAACCAAGGAAAGGCTTTTCAATTATTTTTTCCATGTACCTCAGAAAGAATTGCTACTGAACAATCAGTATCTCAAGTTAAGTACAGATTGATTCTTGGAGACTAATTGGTGAGATTTATTGACAATACAGCATTTAGCTAGTTATAATAGACTCCTATTCATTATACAGTTGATAATTCAACAAGTAGCTGATTCTAATTTTCAATGTTCGTTATACCATTAACGCTGACTTTATTAGCCTACTCAGAGATGTTTAAAAACAATTAACCTTAATTTTTTTTAAATGAAATGTGAGATTTCAGCTATTAAATTTCAATTCTACTTTAACTGCCTCAAGGCATTAGACATGTGGCTCCTGAATTCTGGTGCCTTATGAATGCAGGATATCAGAGTCTTCAACAAAGAAACTCAAGGTCTGATTTTTAATTCTATGCAGATGTGGCTTTTCTCATATAAGTAACCCCATCCATGAATGAGGTTCCCTTCCTTCCATTAGTTTCTGTATCAGAATGTAATTTCTTGTTGTGGTGAAGGATGGCATAGGCCAGTATTTAATTAAAAAATTGCAAATGTCCTGATGACCTAAGCATGCAGAGAGAGGATTCGTTTTAGCACAGTGCCATAAAAAAATGATAGGTGGCTTTTCAGACAAAGCCTGCTTTCTAGGGCTCAGAAATTAGGCGTGCATTTCTACAAAGCTGAGTTTGAGAAAGATTTCAAAGCAGATCAAAGTTAAAGAGCTTCCTGATGGTTCAGCTTTGTAGCACTAAGCCTGCTGGGTGTTCTGTGTCTAACTGCTCCGAAAGCACAGCCGTAGCTTTGCATGCATTACACCAGCCCTGTTTTCAGTAGGGTTTTACAAATTGCCTAATCCAGGATAGGCCTTTTCTGGGAAGCTCTTTTATCCTTCTAACATTTGCATAATGATCTCAATACTGTAATTCTTGTGTGACAGTATGTTGAAGCTCTTTCTGATTTACATTAATGATAGTACAAGAATAATGAAATACCAAATTGACTTCATCGTCTTTCAGGACTGAGAATACCATAAATTTCAATGTTTAAAAAAAGTGTGGGGCCAAGTTCACTCCTGTTGTAATCACAGTGACATCTCTAGAGCTAGGTGAGGTGTGCACTGACTTTGTCCTGCTTAAGTAAATACTAACTCTTGAGGGGGTAGATTCTACTAAAGACCTACAATTAAAGAATGGGAACCTTTCACATTGGTACTCTGTCAGAGTAATACTTTTTCTTCTAGAACTTTGATTAAAACTTGATAATCTTCCATGAAAATTCTAAGCTAATCTCTTGAAATAAAACATAGATGAGGATTGCATGAATACTTTATGTGAACAGTAAGAAAGTCTCTTGTTTTGAGCATTGTGTTAAAATTTGCAGGACTGCACAGCAGATCGTACCAGGCTGAGTTCCCCTTTCTGTCCTCCTGCAGACCTTACATTGAGGCAGCACAGACAGGAGATGAAAGGCAATCCCTAACAGCCATGCAAAAACTGTTCTGAGACAATAACAATTTGGAGTGATCTGGAAGATATGCTCACCGAAAAAAAGACTTCCATAGTAATTCAGAAAAAAAATCATTTCCATTTCTGTGGGAAAATAGACTAAGAAGGTGAATCACAGAGTGCAATGTGTGTATGTATGTATGTATATAACATGTTCATGTGTGTAACAAAGGTGGGTTTGTTGGTTTTTTTAAAGAAAAAAAAATTTTTACAACTGTCAGTCAATGCAACCAGTGTTATACGATATCTTGCAATGAGCAGGTCATGCTAATATATACAATTGTTTGTTCTTTCTACCTATGCATGATTAAATGTGTGAAAGAAAACAATTACACTGATAACACCTTATTTCTCCGTAGAGTAGTAGAAACTCTACCTTTCATTTGTTAAGCGCCATCAGAAGTTTTCTAGTCCTCTTTGTTTACTGTCATTAAAGGAGAAAACTCTAATTTAACAAAAAGATTTATACGATATTTTAAATGATTTTTCCTGATCAAGTATATTCCATGACCTTTAAAAATGATAAAAATGTAGTCCTGGAGCATTTATGATCGAGTTGTGTACTCCAAAGTCCCAATTTTGGTGCACATTATCAACTAATTAGAAGAGAGACTGTGAGAAGCAATAAAGTTAATAAAGTTGCATTGATGGGAGATAGTAGCTGACTTCTTAAATTATCTGTGCAGCAGGTTAAGGTTCATCCTGCATGAGCTTGGATGTACCACCTTACAGCCTTGTAAGCAACTCACCTCCATCTGGGTCCACAGGGAGCCTTCATCCTATGCTTGACCATCACTCAAAAGAGCAGTCAAGATGAGAAAGACACTGTTCACTCCCAGCACACAGAGGAGTTGCAGGTCTGGATTTCTTACTGAAACAAACAGCAAGTGGCAACTACTGATGGATGCTTTTTCCCCTAAGGAGCCCCAGTGGTCATCCAATACTATGCTGTAATTTTGGTCAGGGCAGCTGGAGTCCCACAAATGCTTTGAATGTTACAGCTGTATTTAGATGCTAAAGCTTTCAGCTCAGAGACTATCCTTGTACCAGTGATAAAGGCCTCTCCTGTGCTACCAAGGCTACCGTGCAGTCCTGTGCTGTGAATAGAGAATAATCACCCCATTTTCTCTATTTTCAGGAGATTTGTCCTCACCAAGATGAGAGTCGTTCCAAAAGGAGCTTTTGCAGGACTTCTTGACCTAGAGAAAATGTACGTATTATGTCAACAACTATTTTACTCCAAGCAGCATTTTCTGGTTGCAGCTCCCTATCTGTGAGCTTCATATATTTCATCTTTGGGTTTAAAAAAAAAATACAAACTTTTACTGTTAATACCACATGTTTCAGAACAATGTTGTCATAAATACATTTTCGTATCAGTAAATGGGCAGTCTTCAGTCAAAGGACTGGTTGAACATAGAGTGTCATTGCAGTTAATAAATACAGTGCCATAACAGATCACAGGAAACTGATTATTTTGAGAGTTTTGGAATTAAACAGTGGAAAGATTAAGGAGGAAAGCACTCCTGTTAAGAACAGGTCAGCCAATTCCTTTTTCACTTATGAATAAAGAAGATTGTTTTGTGCATGTTCATAGTCAGCTGGCAAGATGTGTGAGAGAAGTTTCTTATGGATGATCGATCCAAAAATTCTAGCACACAAAGAGTGTAAGCACCTAATTTCTATGAATTTTAGTGATAATCTTGGAGATACAATTATGAGCACCTCTGACGAACCAGATGTATCGTACATTCATTAGTATGCTATTGTGGATGTGTTGCAGCTCCACCACTAGAAGGATTATTACCTTAATTTTTATTATCATTACCCTTGTTAATATGTTTTTTCCAGCTATTCTTTAACAACAGAAAATCTATGGGTTATGTGGTGCTAGCACCAGAAATTATAACCGTCACTGTCCAACCTGAAATATTCTTGGGCATGTATGATTTTTCTTTCATATGGACAAATAACATTTTGCTTAGAAACAGAGCCAGTACTTGCCAGTACAGTGGGAGTGGGACACATAAAATTCAGTGTCCTTTTCAGTGCTATGTGTGTAATGACAAAGCTCAAAAGGACAGTTCTCTGCACCCTTTCTACCCTTTTCCCTTGTACTCTTGCATAAGTAAGGAATTTAGCAAGAAAGTGAACACACCAGAAGGTATGGCCAAGAAAGTGAAAGGATTTTGGACTTGGAGAAGCATGGATGAATGGATGGAGGAAGAACAAACAGTGAACATCCAAGGATTGAAGAGCTGCTATCAGTAGCAAGTGGTAATGCTCACATGGCATCTTGCCTTTTCTGAAATAGGAGATACATTTCAGGGTATAACTGTAGGTTCAGGAATCTTCTCTGAGTATGTACAAACTAAAAATCTTCCCCCTTATGGATCCAGCCTCTCATAAACCCAGCAAGCATCACTGTAAAAGGTCATTTTTCTCGATAAAAGAAAAGTCCTAGTTAGGGCTAAGATCACCTCTGCATTGCCAGTTTTGTTGGCACTTGTTTCTCCCCAGTCCTGTGGAGTTCCTTTTAGCCAAGTCCTTATGGAAAATCATTGAGCTCTCTGGTCTATGAATTGAGTTGCAAAGTGCATTGTGAGCTGCTTCTGTTATCTTCAATTACTCAGAAACCATATGTCAGATAGGTATGAAGGTATTGAATAGTTTGTCTCTAAGTGGTGATTTATTGTTAACCAAAAAAATTGTATATGGCAATGGGCTCAATTTGAAAATACATCCACCTACTAGTAGTACATGGAGGAGAAATGGGGACAGACAGTTTATAGCAAAACACCCTTGAAAATAAAATTGTGATAAATATGTAAATGAGACCAATCAACATCAACAAAGATGCAGTATTTGCAGATGATATGGCATTGAAATAGCTCGCAAATCCTAAACCTAACCCATAAAACATTCATCAGAAATATTCATGATAATGTAGGGACAAAAAAGTGGGTAATCAAATAATAGATTTGCATATAAAAACGCAGCCTTTGTATGAAAGCCTTTTTACTCTTGCAAGATCATGCACAGAAAGAAAGATTAAGCAAACTGTAGCCTATTTAAGGCAAACAGATATTAATATTGTGGTACCTCCATATGGTAAAATGTAGATAGCCTGATGTACACAAATTAGATACTTCAACGTAGTATATGTATGTGCTCACCTAGAACTAAATAGACTAAAAATGAAGTGACAGTATTTCCTGAATGCATTACTGAAGAAACATTAATGAAGAAAAAACAGTATCTTGTGCAGTCCAACATATCTGTACACACAGATTTGGCCTGTTTAGGACACTGGTTCAGAAAGTCCCTCAGGAAGCAATCCTTAACAGCAAAGGGGTCCTGGAAGGCTGGACATACTTTAAGAAGGAAATCTTAAAGGCATAGGAGCAGACCATCCCTATGCACCAAAAGACAAGCTGTCAGGGAAGAAGACCTGCCTGGCTGAACAGGGAGATTTCACAGGAACCCAGGGAAAAAACAGAGTTTTTGACCTCTGAAAGAAGGGGTAGGTAACTCAGGAAGAATACAAGGATGTCGTTAGGGCACGTAGAAAGAAAACTAGAAAGGTGAAAACTCAGAACTCAATCTAGCTACTGCTGAGAAAGACAATAAAAAATATTTTTATAAATACTTTAACAACAAAAGCAGGGCCAAGGAAAATCTCCATCCTTTATTGGACGCAGGATGGGAACATTGTCACCAAGGATGAAGAAAACACTGACGTACTTAATACCTTCTTTGCCTCAGTCTTTAACTGAAAGACAGGTTATGCTCAGGGTAAGCAGTCCTGAGGTGGTGGAAAGGGATGGGAAGCAGAATAAACTCCCTGAAATGCAGGAAGGAGTCATTAGTGACCTGCTGAGCCACTCACAAGTCAATGGGGCCACATGGTATTCACCTGAGTGTGCTGAGGGAGCTGGTGGAAGAGCTTGAAAAGCCATTTCTATCATTTATCATCAGCCCTGGTTAACCAGGGAGGTCTCAGGTGACTGAAAGTTGACCAGTGGAGACCCATGAACAAGAAGAGTCAGAAGGAGGATCCAAGGAACTGCAGACCTGTCAGCCTGACCTCCGAGCCCAGGAAGGTTATGGAACAGATTATCTTGAGTGCAATCACACAGCACATACAGGACAACCAGAGCACCAGACCCACTCAGGATGGGTTTAGGAAAGGCAGGTACTACTTGACCAACCTAATCTTTTTTTATGACCAAGTGACCAGCCTAGTGGATGAGGGAAAGACTGTGGACATAGTTTTCCTAGACTTCAGTAAAATCTTTAATACTGTCTCCCATAACATTCTTCTGGAAAACTGGCATCCAATGGCTTGGAGAGCTTCACTCTTTGCTGGGTTAAGGACTGGCTGATGATGGGGCCCAGAGAGTAGAGGTGAATGGTACCAGAGGGTGGCTGGTCACTAGGGATGTCCCCCAAGGATCAGCATCAGGGCCAGTCCTGTTCAACCTCTTTATTGATGAGGGGATTGAGTGTACCCTCATTAAATTTGCAGACAGAACCAAGTTGGGTGGGAGTGTTGGTCTGCTGGAGGGTAGAAAGGCTCCACAGAAGGATCTGGGCAGGCTGGATAGATGGGCTGAGACCAGCAGTATGAGATTCCATACTTGGTGAAGTGCCAAGTCCTGCACTTGGGTCACAACAACCCCATGGAATGTGACAGGCTGGGGGATAGAGTGGCTGGAAAGCTGCCCAACAGAAAAAGACCTGGGGGTGCTGGTTTATAGTTGGCTTAATGTGAGCCAGCAGTGTGGTCCAGAAGGCCAATGTCATCCTGGCTTGTATAAGCAATAGTGTGGCCAGCAGGACTAGGGAAGTGATTGTCCCCTTGTACTCGGCGCTGGCAAAGCCACACCTCCAGTGCTGTGTCCAGTTCTGGGCCCCTCACTACAGGAAAGATACTGAGGTCTGGAGCGAGTCCAGAGATGACCAACAGAGCTGGGTGAGGGTTAGATAGCAGGTCTTATGATGAGAGGCTGAGGGAGTTGGGGTTGTTTAGCCTGGAGAAGAGGAGGCTCAAGGGAAACCTTATCATTCTCTGTAACTACCTGAAAGGAGGTTGTAGCCAGGTGTGGTTTGACCTCTTCTCCCTGGTAACTGGTGGCAGGATGAGAGGAAATGGCTTCAAGCTGCATCAGTGGAGGTTAAGGTTGGACATCATGAGGAATTTCTTCACAGAAAGATTGATTAAACGTTGGAATGAACTACCCAGAGAGGTGGCACTTAGTGCTTTGGTTTAGTTGACATGGTGTTGTTTGGTCTGAGGTTGGACTCAGTGGTCTTGGAGGGTCCCTTCCAACTCAGAATACCCTGTGAAATATCCGTCTTATCCACCCTAAATGATTCCATTATTCTATTCTATGATTCTAAGTTAAATAAGAGATGAGTTTTTCATAGGAATCCTAACTCTGTTGTATTTACTTTCAAAGTGAATGAAGGCTTTTGAACACAGGCACCAAAAATTTCTAGTTTTCAATTAAAAATAATTCAATAATATTTTCCTGCTTTCTCTATGTGTTTTAGTATCTTCTCAAACACCCAAACTGCTGAGAGCTTTGAATAGATGTATTTTACCAGAAAATATCAAATACTTTCAGTTAGGCTTCAGTCAGAGTACTCAGGCAAGATCTCCCTTGTTTGCCATTTGGACTCTCCAAGGACTTTCCAGAATGGACACTAGGGACTATGACTCATCACGGAAAAAATAGTGTGACTGGGAAATGATGGCATGAAGCACTTGATCTGCTCTCCCTTGTGCAGCTCTAATTTTAGTTACCAAGACAAAATCTTTTGTGTTTCATCTGATTTTTAATTATTTTTTTTTTTATTTTGGCAACATTGTCATTGGAATACTTTTGTCATTTTTTAATTTTTTTAAAAAATGAGAGCGCTTTTGAACTACCTCTGGCTTGTCATTATCTCCTCACCCATCTAAATTACCTCAGTTACTGAAAAAAACAGGAGATGTCCATTCTGTAGACTGTCATATGGTGCAACAAGTTTTCCCAAGTATATTCTAGGAGAAAGATCTTCTTGTCTTCTTAGATAAAATGTTTAAATTTATGAAATAAACTGTCAGGCTCTAATTATCAGAGATTTCTCTTACTAAACATGCAAGTTGAATTTTCATATAGAAAACTATTTCAGGAACACACAAGTCTGTGGAACAGTGTTGCC